ATGTCCCACAATGTGTCCCATGCCATCTCCACACTGTCCCGTTATGTGTCCCATGCTGTCCCCACACTGTCCCTGTGCCATCTCCACACTGTCCCGTTATGTGTCCCATGCTGTCCCCACACTGTCCCTGTGCCATCTCCACACTGTCCCACGATGTGTCCCATGCTATCCCCACACTGTCCCGTGATGTGTCCCATGCCGTCTCCACACTGTGCCACGATGTGTCCCGTGCCGTCCCCACTCTATCCACATGCCATCTCTACACTGTCCCACATTGTGTCCCATGCTGTCCCCATCATGTTCCACAAATGTGTCCCATGCCATCTCCACACTATCCCGTTATGTGTCCCATGCTGTCCCCACACTGTCCCTGTGCCATCTCAACACTGTCCCACAATGTGTCCCATGCTATCCCCACACTGTTCCCATGCCATCTCCACACTGTCCCATGATGTGTCCCATGCTGTCCCACACTGTCCCTGTGCCATCTCCACACTGTCCCACGATGTGTCCCATGCTATCCCCATGCTGTCCCCATACAATCTCCACAGTTTCCCATGGTGTGTCCCATGCTGTCCCCATGCTGTCCCTGTGCCATCTCCACACTGTCCCATGGTTTGTCCCATGCTGTCCCCATACAATCTCCACACTGTCCCATGATGTGTCCCATGCTGTCCCCATGATGTCCCACATGCTGTGTCCCATGCTGTGTCCACTATGAGCTCCATGCTGTCCACCACACTTTTCCCAGCGTGTCTTCACCCTGCTCCCCACCTACCCCCACATCTCCCTACCTTAAGCCCAACCTGTCCTCCGCCTTTCCCTACCCTGTACCCCACCCAATTACCCAAATTGTCCCCTACCCTATCTCTCATGCACTCCTCCACCCTGTCCCACTGTCCACACCCTGACCCCACTGTCCTAACTTRTTGCCATCCTGTCCCCCAACTGTCCTCACACTGTCCCACACCCTGTCTCCTCCACCTTTTCCTCATTGTCTCACCTGTCCCCACACTGGTCCAACCCTATTCCCCACACCATCCCCCGATATCCTCACACTGTCCCCCACCTTGTCCCCCACCGTCCCAACCATGTCCACAGACAGTCCCCACATTTCCCCCACAGTCCACCCCTGTCCCCACCCTGTACCCACCCTGTCCCCCACCTCATCCCCCACATCTCCATCCTGTCCTCCTTGTCCCCACCCTGTCCCCTATAGTCCCCACCCTGTCCCCACACTCTCCCACCCTGTCCCCCACCATCCTCACCCTGTCCTCACCTTATCCCCCACTATCCCCATCTTGTCCCTCATTGTCCCCACCTTGTCCCCCATGTCCCCACCCTGTCCCCTCACTGTCCCCAGCTCTCCCTCAGGTGCCTGTGGGCTCACCTGTGCTGT